AGCCACAGCCAGGCTGACCTGCAACTTTCAAGCTGTCCTTAGTGTGGCAACTATTGGACCCAACTTCATGGGACCATTTTGGACAGCTAGTCACAACAGTCCCACCCGGGAGGCAATGGGGTGCGTTCGCAGGAAGCAGCTGCTGATCCTACCCAGAAGAGCAAATAAATGCAAACAGATACCTAGTTAGACTTTTATTTCTACAGATTAAGAGGCCAAAGGTTTCTGCTATTCAGTATTTCCAGTAGCAGTGCACACCATACCACACCCCAGTCCAAAACAAAAAAACTCCTCTTCAGATCCTGCAAGGTCCTTGGGCCAAATGTACAAATGCCTTGTGGGATGGGGCCAGCAGGAGACAGGTCTGTGTCCAGAGAAGTGCCTAAAAAGAAAATAAAAAAAGGTTGGTAGTCTTGTCTGATACAAATTGCATCTGGTTGAAATTCATCCTTATTTAACGTCAGATACCAGGGCAGAATTCCCAGAACTGGCTGTACATCCCCCTCTTCAATCTCATTCACTTGACAGCATGGTGAATTTCAGGGTCTCTAACAGTTGAATCCATCTTTAATCGGAGTTCAAAAGGCCAAAGGAGACTAACTCCACTGGGAACCTTTTAACAGCATGCAGAACAGTAAGATATCGTAAGAACTGTCCACACCTAATAGAAAGATCTCCAGAACTGGGTCAAAACCAACAACAGAATCTCACCTGTTTCAGGACACTGAAATCAAGGGAGATCAGACACACTGGTATCCATGGCTCCCTCAGGCCTGTACAAAGTAAACAGATGAAACCAATCATAAACTAAACAGATCAAGGCCAAAACAAGGAATTATTCCTGGGGCCAATGCATCAGACAAAACTGGCTATTAGTTATGAGATCAACAGGGTCGATCTGATGGGGAAAAAAGTTATGTCATCAGCTGCATCAGCCAAATGATGTCAAAAGAAACAATTCTATACTGAAAGATAAGAGCTTAGGGGCTCTATGCCCAGAAGGACACATGGAAATCACTTACCAATCCTTTCTTACTCCGGAATTTACCCTCCATTCAATTCAGCTGCCAGCAAACCTGAGACAAAATGCAGAAAAACATCAGCTACCTGGACAAGGGCCAGAGCAGCAGCTTGTCCCACTCAAGCAGGCATGTCAGACAAACTGGCTTGGAAGAGTTGAGATCAACATGGTCGATCTGACGGGGAAAAAATTCTGTCATCATACACGCCTGGACACTCCTGATCCTAGTCCTAGTAGGTAGTTAGTGCTAGATCCCCTCCTTCAAAAGCAACAATTATAACACACTCAAGATGGTCAAGGCCCACTGCCTGCCACAAGAAACCCTACTCTAAATATTGGTCATCTGCCTGGGCCTACCTCCTGAGTGCTGTGACTTAAAGCAGTTATAGCATTGTTTCTACTTAACATTCATGGTCTACTCTCCATTCATGGGCTGGAGAGAGATGAGTCAAGAGGTCAAGAGCACTGGCTGCTCTTCCAGAGGTCCTGAGTTCAATTCCCAGCAACCACATGGTGGCTCACAACTATCCAGAACACTGTATAAAATAATAAATCTTAAAAAAAAAAAAAAGGCCCTGTCCATTCATTAGTTTCCACTAATAGGAAAAGTTCAGAGGCAAGACATGGGCCTTATATTAATGAGGGTTCTATCCCCAAGCAATGCCCAAAATTACTAATCTCAGCATTAAATCTTGCATTTGAATTCCAAATCAGTTAACTAAAAGGCTCTTCAAAGCACGCGTTTCCTCCATTACGCCAGAAGACAAATCGCACCTTAAGATGTCCAAGACCGTACGTTATTCTCATCTTCCTGGAGGCTCAAAGATGACGTCTCCTCTCCGGTCCTGCTTGACCATGCCAACCTGCAATACAAAGACATCAGTCGCCATCTTCCCTCGATCAGAACAAAGCAGACCAGGGCCTTTGTGGGCTGGCGTATCAGAATTAACTGGCAAAATATTTTCAGAGATCAGCATTGTCGATATGACGGGGAAAAAAGTGAAGTCATCATTTACACCAGCCAAGAGCTCCCCAGGCCCGTCTTTCCCATCTAAATCAATTCCCCGAAGGTCAACCCAGTGCTGGCGCTGGACAAGCCACGCCGTGAGGCTATGGCTGGTTACAGCGACGACAGCATAAACTCGGTAAAAGGTGACCAGAAAATTGTGCCGTGGTAACTCACTATTTGCAAATAACTGCCGCATGGACGCGACATATCGCGTGCACAAGACATACTGCGTGCGCAAGACATAACGCACAAAGCGCGTCTCAGGAACGAAAGGACGAGGTAGATGGCGGCCCTTCCTTATATATACACCAAGGCCCCGCGTGCGCCTGCGCACTGGGCCTCAGGCGCGCCGCTTCCGGCCGCGGCCGCTACGCCCCCTGGGAAATAGAGTCCCCGAGCCGCCCGGCCCCAGCTCGCTAATGGTTGTCCAGCCCGCGTCTAGCCCCTCCCCGTGCTCACTGGGCCTCCGGGGCTGCTCAGCCTCCGCGCCATGTCGCGCTTGGCACGCACGAG